TTTCCTATCTAACGCTCTGGTAGACCGGCAGCGTATGTATTTGTGTGCCTATCCACTCGTTTTTTTTTTTTTTTTTTTTATCCGCAGGGTGCTCGGAATAAAAGTTTTTTGACGCCGTCAAATCGATAACACAACGTAAAATAACCGATCGCAGCCGAAAGTGGTTTACGCGATTATTTAAATGAGCCGAGAATAACGCGAAGCTTGCGCACGACCGATCGTTTTTTAAGACCGCCGTCGTACTTTGCAGCGGCAACGACGACGACGACGACGTTGGGGGGGGATTCGTTCTCGCCGGGTAACGAACAAAATCGACAAAACGCGCGAAGTGACGAGCGCGTTACCCGACTACTACGCAAGCTTTTTGTGGCTTTCGGCGCTCGTCGGTCCATAAAATCGAGGTATCGATCGTGACCGTACAAAGAGATTTAGCGTTGGATCTTCGATCCATGATTTTTTATCGGATTTGCCGGCGCGCTGCAGAATGGAACCTGGCAAACGGAGAAAATGTTTACGACTGTGTTAACTCGAACGACGGTGCGCGGCCATATGTACATGGATCCGTCTATGCGGTGAAAAAAAAGAAAATAGCTTCGCTTTTGTTCTTCTCTTTCTTTGAGAGAAGATTGATTTGAAAGCAAGTACAACTCTATTTTTTAGCATTTAAACGTTCGAAGTTTATTTTTTTTTTCTTTCAAGTTTCTCTTACGCTTACGCGACGTGAGATGATTCCAATGAGAACTTTGAGATAGACGAGAGAATTCGTGTAAAAAAAAAAATCATCTTAAAAATCTTTTTGTTCAAAAAATGATATTTTTACACACATGTTTCGAGGAATTATCGCGATATAGTGTCTTTAATTCAATGACTTTTAATTGTTCTCTTTTGAGAAAGTTTACTTTACTCGATAATCATGAATAGAACGTCTCTCAATTATGAAGTTTCACATCCATTTCCTTTCCTCATGGAAAAGATGGAAATATTGAGAGTCAAAGAATGTTGGATGTATATCTTGAGAAATGAAAGTTTTTCGTATTCGAGATATGAATTTTGCATGAGCTCATATTTAATTGAAAGCAAACAAAGGGAATGGAAGTCGATCGTAATTTTTATCGTCGAATCGTAAATTTCATAAGAAATATTGTTTTGAGCTTCGCTCGAATCGTGAAAGTCGGATTCGCGGCGACGCGCGCGTAGAACGAGTAAGAAAGTTTTCTCGAGAAATCCAGTGAAAAGAATTCCGTAGTACCACCACGAGAGAGAAAGAAAGAGAGAGAGAGAGAGAGAGAGAGAGAGAGAGACGCAAATTTGCGGGATCCAAGCGGGATCTTGAAAACATTCTCCGGTTGAAGTCTCAAGCGTTGCTGAATTTTGGTGCTCGACAGACTGTAAAATTGAAATATCGGCCTGCGCTATCAAAATATCTCTCCGTTTCTTATTCTCGTCGTATATTAAAGCTTCTCTTCCTATACACACGGCATAGAGAGAGTTTTACAGAAGAGAAGAAAGTAAAGATATATTTACACTACATTTTTATTTTTCTCAATACGAAACATCACCTGTTGTGAAATCAGATCCGCGTGTAAATTCGCAAAATTCTCTTTCTTTCGAAGGATATCTTTATTTCTATTTCTCTCTCTTTCTTTCTTTCTCTCTCTCTCTCTCTCTCTCTTTCTCTCTCTCTCTGTTGCGTCAATGGAATATTAATAATTATCAACGTAATTAATCCTCGATCTCTCGTTCAACAAACGAGATGCAAGAATTATTAAGAGGAAAATTATGAAGAAAGTAGCTTTCGTCGTCATTGGAACGGAAATCGTTTACCGCGTTTAAGTTTCCGCTAGGAATCCATTTAAGACTTTCTGGAGAACGCGAAGGATCTAGCCGATACCTACGAGGAAGATCTCTTGGAGAAACTGCCTCCGGCTTTCGCGATTCGACGGGCCGTAAAATTGGGATATCGATCGATCGAGAGAGAGCAAGCGACGAAGAGAATTTCTACCACTGTCGATTTAGGTGTTCATCTGGGACCAGCTGCGTTTCGCGACACCGATAACGTTAAGCAAATATAGAAACTTTGGGGGGGGGGGGAGAGAGAGGGGGCAAAGATGTAAGCCGCGTTTGTGTGCGATTGGTCGATATATTGTTTGAAAGATGTAATTTGGCACCTACGCGGTTCGGTTATTGTTTTCAACAATTGATACGCTCTCTCTTCGAATTGTTTTTCCATGTGTCAAAGAGAGAGATTAAAAGTGCACGTTCGCGCGATTATCTTCGCGAGAAGGAGAATATGTTATTAATATTTCAAGCAGAGATGAGACAATAATACGTACATTAATTTATTTAATTAGCGGAAATGGAAATATCTCTCGCAAGAGATAATAACACTTAATATTTGTTTCTGATATAAATAAATTATGTGAAATATATATATACATATGTACACATATTATGATATACGCGCTTACACATTTTGCTTATTTAGAGAGAAATTACAACTTTGCTCTGATAATCGTTGAATCAGCAATAAATGCGATATACGTTTAAATTGCAAAAAATCACAATAGTAACGTAAATGCGATAATGCTTGCGAGAGAGAGATGATTAAAACGATCGTTTTATCGCGACGTGCGCGCATTCGACGTTTTAGAGTGAATTGCTTTTATCGCAAACTTTTACCACACACCCGCCGCACTTATGCCTCGAAACTCTTAACGGTAGATTATGTTCGGGAAATTGCTGTTTATCATTATTTCCGACGATTTTCTCGCCGCGCGTACGTATATAAACGCATGCGATCGCGAAAAAAAAAAGAAAAAAAAACGATCGAAAAAAAAGCGTTCTTGGCAATTTTCCGTGGATGGATCCATGTACATGTTACGCATACAGGCACAAAGGTTTCGGCCAAATATCGTCGCCGGAAGCGACGTTTATGCGCGCCATAGAGCGAATCTCTCTCACATACTCGTAAATTATTCCGTCCAATAAATAACGCCCGGATCGATGAGCGATAGCGATCAAAAGGAAACCGTCTCGTGATATATGTGTATCCTGTACACCCTGCGGGGGTTGATTTCGCCTTCCACCTCTTAATCCAGACGTACGTGTGCACGTGCGCGTACAAGTGTATGTGTGCTTGTGTGTACGTGTATCTGTGTTAAGCACGTGTTAACGTGTGTGTCGGTGATGTGATATGTGCGGCGAGGCCAGTCGCGTACATTCTCACGTTTTCATTCGCGCCTAAAGCACGCTGCAGCTTCCATTTATTTCCGTTAGTCATTCGCTTTCTTCGAAAGTCGACCGTCTCGCGTTAATTTACGACTTCGCGTGTTGCAAACAACAGAAATGACCATCTCTAACAGTCGTTCAAAACTAAAAGTAAAATAAAATTGAAAAAAATTTTTTAAAGGAGACAACAAAACAAAACAAAAAAAAAATACTTATAGCGCGGAAATTGTAATTTTGCAAATTTGTGAAAATTTATATCGAGCGAAACTTGATTAAAAGACGAAGAAAAAATTAACGGAGTTGGCCACTTTGGAAGACTGACGGAGATCGCGCAAATCTTATTAGTGTACTATAATATCACATCTACTTTCATTCTCTTAAAAATCAAACTTCACGTTTCCGCTTCGGTCACACGCAACGTTTCTCTTTGCTCGTTCAGCAATTTTGTCGTTTTTTTTTTTTTATTTTTTTTATTTTACTCGCTTCGTCCGCGACCATGCGAACTTTATTTCACTTTCTCTGTCACACACTTACACACACACACACACACTCTTTCTCTCTCTCTCTCTCTCACTCGCATTCTCTTACTTTCCTGTCGCGCTTACTCTTCTTTTATAGCGTCTTCTCTCGAAGAGAGAGAGAGCGGTCCGATAGAGACCGTCTCTCGCGAAATCCTTTCTTTCAGGATTTTTCTTCTTTTGCTCGCGCTCGTGCTCGCTTTTCGCGACCAAACGCCTTTTGTCGCCAGCGCGACGCGAAACACGTGAAACTGCAACAGTAGCAATCGTGCTACATCTCTCAAAATGAAAATCTGTCGGATTCGTCGTGTCCAGAGAGATCGTTGAATATTTCACCGAATTATATAGGTACACACACACCCACACCCACACACATGTATATACATATATATCCAATGGAAAATGCGCGGTTTTCTACGACCGTGTAAAAATATTTCGCGAAATAATAATCGCGCGAATTGAAACAAAATAACTTTGTTATAGCAGGTAAAATAATGAATACATCAGACCGTCGTAATAAAAAAAAAATTTTGAAAATTTCCAGTAAATTATTAAAAAAATGGAGACTTCTGAGAACAAATGTTCTCCGAACTAGCAAAACACATCGATACCTGCGATTAATATTGAATTCAAACATTATATGTTTTCATTACAGCGCGGGGTATTGTACAGCTGCGGTTTGAATTTTCGATGCTATCGAGTCATTATTCACATTCGCGCCAACGGCGTACAAACTGCTTTTGTTGAAATAATCGCGAATTTAAAGTTTTACGCGACGCTGTGTAAGGGAGCCTCTTTTTCAATATAAAATTATTATTTGCGCGTTGGCGTGTAGTCCGCAACCGCGCGCGCGCGCGCGCGCAAATTTGCAACGGCGAGTTATTCGAATTATTAATCTCGTTTTGTCGAGGAGCCGGCGCGAATCCATTTATCGATTTATATATAACGTACCTAATATTCGCGAGTCCGTTTCACATTGGCGCGCGCGGCGACTTATATATTCGTTTCGGTAGTTAATCTCACGCGTGCCGTAAAACGGAATTTGCACGCGCTGCGACGGAATTTATATCTCCGCAGTACGACGTGTATACCCCGTATGAGGTACGGCCCCGGTTCTGTTTAAACCCCCACGCCGGTAATTGTCGGATCATAAAACAGAACGGACTTTATTACCTTAAGATACAATAAAATGAGAATTAAGCGCCCTTGTCGCAGATTCTCGCAGTTGATGTTTTTTTT